AACTGTTGGCGATTTTTTGCCAATAGCATTTGCTTTGAAATCCCCACCGTCAGTTAACTTAAGTTTGGTTGTCGGATTGTTCAACCAGTTGTCCTGGTCACACTTTGTCTTGAGCCCATGGTTGTCAAGATCAGCTCTAAGCTGCTGAATTCAATCATTTCTTCAATTTTAAGCACCTTCAAGTAGATCATTCAAGCTATGGACATCGATATTTCGAAAGGAAGTGTGCAGTTGAACCCTTCTTCTTCATAGTTGGTGAGCGAATGGCGTTGTTTTTACCTTTTCTTTCAGTTCCTTCAGTTTCATTTCTAGCCTTGGACCTTTTTTAGCTCGGTTTATAACCGCTTCTAGTCTACCAAGACCAGTATATCTAATAACAAGGGTCTTTAGGCCAAGCCATATAGCAGGACTGGCTTTAGGAAAGTCTCAACGAGGAGACTCTTGTTCCTTAGTGTCAATCTTTTTGACACCAGGGCCGGTCTAAGACGTAGCATTGCTGTCCTTGTCTTAGAGATGCGAGCGCTAATATTGCCATCTGATGCTATGGGGCTGTCGATGTACTGAAAGTGGTTAACCTGTTCAACGTGTTCACTGAGTACATTGATAAGGACATTAGTATTGTCTTTGGTGTTGATTGCAATACTTTTAGTTTTCTCGACATTTTTCTAGTTGAGCCAATCCAAAGGTTTTGCCATCTCATTCATTGGCTTGTTAGCATTTGCTTGGTTGTCAGAGATCAAAGCCAGATCATCAGCATATTCAAAGTTTTTTTTCTCTCCACTGTTGTTACTTATGAGGAAGTAAAAAAGGATGATAAACAACAGTGGGCCCGAAACGCACCCTTGCCGCACCCCTCGGTTCACTAGAAAGATTTTATATTTATCAAAATGCCGATGGGTTTTCTTTGGTGCACTTCAATCAAACAGATACTATCTGGGATTCCAAAATCCCATAGGGCGATAAACAGCATTTCCCTATCAATAGAATCAAAAGCCTTTTTCAGGTCGATGAAAGTCATAGAAAGAGATTGCTGGTTTTCATCCTTCTTTGAAGCAAACATCTCATTGCCAAGATAGCTTGGCCTGTTGACCTGTGGCTTCGGAACACAAATTGATAGGGTGAGATCTTAGGCAGCTGCTTATTCACCCTATTTGCAATCTCCTTTGCGAACACATTGCCGATTTTGTTAAGAAGGAAAATGCTCCGGTAATTGTTCACTTCTGCTCTGCTTTCCTTCTTGAACAAATTGAGTGTTACTGCGTCCCTCCAAGTTTGTGGAAATTTTCCCAGATCAACCCAGATATCAGAGAAAATCCTTGTGAGGCCTGAGAGTTTTCTTCTCGAGCAACTTAAGAAGCTCACTGGTGATCTGACTCTCACCGAGAGCCTTGCCCGCATCGATTTCTCTCAAGGCTTGTAGTACTTCTGCCCTTTTAGGAGGTCCACTATTGGCACCTCGAAGTGACCATTGAATAACCTCTTCACCCGCCGGTCCGTTCGTAAACAGATTCTCATACTGCTTTTGAAACTTGCAATTACTGAATTCACCTTTGCTCCTTCTCTCTAGCCAACTCAAACGAACACTCCGAGGAGTCTCTCTCAACGCCTAAAATGCTTCACGAGTTTGTCCAAGGACGTGCTTGTCTTGAAATTTTTCGAGGCCGCTCTCCAACATCTCATTTTTGGCAAACTTCCTCAACTTCTTGCACTTTAAGTGTAGCTTTTTCCTTTTTGCAACCAACTCTTCAGTTCTGTTGTTTAGAACTTGAATGTGTACACTTCTTCTTTCTTTAAATACCAAACGTTGTTCAGTATTTAAGTACTCAAAGATAGTACCTTCTTTTTCTTCAGGTTCCGGATCCGGTTACCTGGCATGGACATTGCACATTAACTCCTTAAGAGTTCTATTGAAGCTCTCAACGGATTCAGTGTGGGACAGGCGGTTATCTGATGTTAGGAGCTTGCGACCTTGGGCCGATTTTAGACCGGTTTTGATTTGGGACCGTATTCCAGGAGACTTTTTTAAAAGATGTTTCTGAGAAGCTTTCACCATCAAACGCCTTTTTGCCTGGTTCTTTCGGGGGTAAAATCACGCCTATTAGTTTAGCATGTTCTGAGTGATGCCCGGCACTACCTTCCCAATTGGCTCTCATATCTTCAAACCGTGTTCCGGTCGGACAACAAATAATCAATGACTGCACATGAGCCTCTTGGGTGACGCCACGTTATAAACCTACTGAAAGGCTTCTTGAATAACGTGTTCACAATTTTTAAATCGTGTATCGAACAAAACTCCAGTAATTTCTCAACATTTAAGTTTGTTTCTTGTTCGGCAGTCCAAGCACCAGCTATTGGTCTCAATTCGGTCAATTACTCTTTACTAATTCTCGCATTCAAATCACCTAATATTCGATTATGAGATCCAACTTTACCGCTGGGGATGCCGTCTTTCATTACTCTGAAGAGATCAGCGTAAAAGCAATGATTTCGCTTTTCACTTTTTTCCTCATCGGCGTTAGTGGGACTGTAACACACGAATGTTTTGAACGTCCCACTATTATTGCGACTTAAACCAGGCGACCATTATTCGGTCACTTTGGCACCTATGCCTGGTTAATTTTATTTTAAACGAAAAGAAAATGAGAGAAATCTTGTTTCTACCTATTTTCTCGAGGTTCTTTCGAGCACACAATAGTGTAATTTCTGCCAAGGTTGGAGACTCTTGTCGCTGTTCAAGCGGGTCTCGCATAATCCCAGGGCGTCAAAACGCCGCTCTAGCATCAGTTGTTCTAATTCGACTTTTTCAATTCCTTTTATGGTCCTAAAACTGCGATGTCCAAACTTCCACGGTTGCTGCCTAACCAAAACTTTGTTTCGGGCAGGTCGATTCTGTTTCCGATTGGTTTCTTTCATTGGTTTGAATGTAGGTAGTTTTTCTTCAGGTATGGCCTACTAAACCGTATTATTAACCTCGGTTCACCCCCCAGTAGGCGTTTGCACTTCAGTCGTTAGCCGCGCACAGACAGGTTTAGTATACTGTCCTTCAGTGACGTACACGTTGTCCGGGACCCACCGCTAAGAGGTGACTGTTTGACTTTGGATCCCAATTTGATTTTTGATTTTGCTGTGATAATCCCCATTCTCTTAATCATTTTGTAATATTGCACAATAAATAAAGCATTGCACTGGTGTAATAAGTTAATCCGATCTGCACTGCAGCTGGTAAAAGCCAGGGGCCGTGTTTTGGACTCTATCAATGCCTTAGAGAACTAATTCAAACGAAATGAAAGTCACCACTGGGAAACCGTTCTATCTTTCCGAGGTAGCAGTGGTGGTCATGACGCTACATTCTGCACAATTTTGTCTCTTGAATTTTTACACCGGGCCAACGGCAACATGACCTGGCGGCTTGGGCCTTGGCCTTGCTTTGACCTACGAATATCGTTGCTTCACATAACAATGATTGATCATTGACTTCCTAACAGAGCACCGATAAGAGCAGAGCGGACACTCTAGCACTCGAATCTTTTTGCCGAACTTAAGCACCTTCAAGTATGGCATTCAAGCTATCGACACCGATGTTTTTCAAGGACGCGTACAGTTAAACCCTTCGTCTGCATAGTTGGTGTGTGACTGGCGTTGTTTTAATCTTTTCTTTCAGTTCCTTCAGTTTAATTTCGTTTCACGTTTCTAGCCTTGGACTTATTCTTATAGCACGGTGTATAACCGTTTCTAGTCTACTAAGAACAGTACATCTAATAACAAGAGTCTGTATGCCGTATAGCAGAAACGGCTTTGGGAAAATCTAGATGATGAGACCCTTGTCCCTTAGTATCAATCATTTTGACACCCGGGACGTAGCATTGCTATCCTTGTCGTAGAGATGCGAGCGCTGCTAGCCTTGTCAGCGCTGTCATCAGATGCTATGATGCTGCCGAGGTACTCAAAGTGATAAACCTGTTTAACTTGTTCACTGAGTACACTGATAGGGACATTAGTATTGTTCTTGGTGTTGAGCTTTTAGTTTTCTCGACAGATATTTCTAATTGATCCAATGCAAAGGTTTTTGCCATCTCATTCAGCGACTTGGTAGCATTTGCTGTAATGTCAGAAAGAAAAAATCAATCTTCAACTCGCTATCAAACAGGCAAGTGTTCGTTCTGTGTAGGCACATTGGGGCTCGAGCGGCCTTGCAAGTTTTTTTCTGTAGATTAAATACAATATTATTGACAGAGCGCTCAGATAAAGCTAGTTAGACTGCTTTCTCGTAAGCAACACTTAAGAGACAAATTATAATATTGACGCAGCTGTTAACAAGTACACGCTGCTTTTGATAACTCGTTTACCCTGCTGCACTAAATTTTTGCAGTGATACTAGGCTATACGAATATGATAAATGACTGCAAGTATGTTTAAATTTTGCAGTGATACGAGACTCATTCCCCTCCCCCGAGAGTTGGAAGTCTTATTATAATTGTGAGAGTGTTAGCGTGAACACGTCTAGCGTTTGGTGCCATTTTTCTCTTCTTTTTTTGAGATCTTGTGCACCCTGTAATCAGCACCTTGTGATTTTGTTGTGATAATCCTCACTTTCTTAATCATTTTGCAATATTACATAATAAATAAAGCATTGCACTGGTGTGTTTTTTGTTGTCATTTTTATGCTTATTACTGAAAATTGGGGATTATAACCTGTCTTTTGGCTAAATGCGAATACTTCCATGAAAAATATAAATCGAGTCCTTAGATTGCTCGGATATTGCTGAGGCTAAATTTGAGTCTATACATTTGAACTCAAATATATTAGACTTCCGCATATGTCCCTTACACCTCATCGTAATCACTACATGTAATTTTCAAGTGACAGTCTAAGTATGTAAATGTTACTTGGTACCTTATACCCAAATGATAGAATTAGCTCAGAAAGCCGTCCTATTGAACCTATGCAGTTTTGATTGGTTCAATTTTCTTGAAATACATGACATGGCTGTTTCAGATAAGTTTCATTGTAACTCTTAAACTATGTCCCACCCGGTAGAACTATGGCTGTTTGATTTATCGAATGGCATGGCCAAACAGCTCTCTATGGCCTTCGTGGGCAAAGAAATTGAAGGAATCTGGCACACGAGTGTAATAGCCTACGGAAAAGAGCATTTTTACGGAGCCGAAGGCATTAGTCATGAGAGTCCTGGATCCTCGATGGTGGGATTCAATACGTACAAGCGCTTCCCCATGGGGGAAACAGATATCCCACCGGACGTGTTCTACGACTACTTGAAACAACTTGGGTTAGTAAATTGAAGTTAATTCAGCTGTGAATTCGAAATGAATTCAGTAAATCGAAATGAAGCTAATTTTTCTCAATTAAAGGATACTGCGAAAACTCGCCCAAAAATTAACTAGAAGGAGGCGACTTAAAAGGAAACTGGAACTTGCAATAAAGTAGGAAAAGTAGTTTGTTCTGATGAATCAATTTTGCTTGTCAGTGATGTCCATTTAAAAAAATTAAGTTAATGTAAGTTTTCATATAAATTTTGAAAAATTGTAATTTAAATCGAGCAATTTAAATTGAAAAAAATAGTTGCTGCGGCGGTATTCGATCCGACGCCAAATTGCAGAGTTTACTCATGATTATTAATTTCAGAGTTCTGCAGAAAAAGCGATCAAACTAAATTTTCACGATAAATTTGATGAACTTTTGTAGCTAATAGATATGCCCAGAAAATTGCTTTGGTATTCGTTTCACAAAATTGCGAAAAGTCCCCAAAATTGGCGGAAAAACTGCTAAACAACAGACTGAAGAAATATTTAAATTTCTAAAAGAAAATTTAGTTAGTTTCGGAAACATTTAAACTGGTGCCAACAATTTTTATAGTTTTATTAAACTATTTTAATTTAAACTTTTATTTTTTTATTAAATGGACATCACTGGTGGTTGTGCTACAGTTCCGTGCATTTCATGGGCACTCAACTCTTTCACACAGCCGTTTAAGACAGGGCGAAAAAACATTCCACTTTTTTGAGGGGCTCTCTTGGCACTGAACTAATTTTGAGGGAGAAGAAAAGTGTTCAAACAAAAGTCGATTTCTTGTTGAAGTCTTCTCGAAAAGATTCAGAACCAGAAATGGTGCTAGTCTAAATTTTAAAATCAATTTGGCCGACCTATTGAAAATTAGCAAACCCCTCATCTCTGCACGGGAGGAGTAATCAATAAGCCATCCGAGTTATATTCTCTTGTTTTGCAATTTTGTGACAATTGCGAAATCAATACGAAGATTTTTCAATTTCTGAGACCTTATCATTCCCTGGTTCCAAATTGCTGAAATTTCAAGTGATACTTTTTAAGCAATGGCCAGTTCGCAGGAGAAAATTACAAGCTATTCGAACACAACTGCAACAACTTTTCGAACGAAGTGTGCACTTTTCTGGTGGGCAAACCAATTCCAGATTTCATCACAAACCTCCCTAATGAAGTGTTACAGACTCCTTTCGGCCAGATGATCAAACCTATGATAGAACAGGCGCAGCTTCACGTGACATCTCAAAATCAGGGCCAGAACTGAACTTCGCTGGATTAGTTAAATTATGTAAATTATTTGTTCATAGCTTTTAAAGTATCTACTGCAGTGCAGGTTTTTCAAATGTTAGAATTAAAGTTGGAAGGCTAATTTTTTTATAGCATATGCTAGGAAGGCGAAGTCGCTATGGAAATCATGATGTTAAAATTGAATTTAATCTAGACATGTCAATTAGAATTATTTCATCAATTATAATCGAGGCAAACTAAAAGGCTAGTAATGAGTAATCTAAATTCGCAGATTCATGACTATCGCAATAAATGAAGAACTTTTTCTGTACTTGATCAATTTTTCTGTAATAAATTTTTCTGAGTCAAACTGACAGGAAATAATCAGAAAAGCTGGTTCAATTTAAAAAAATCTGGAAATGTACAAGCAATCTGTTCAATTAAATAATTTTTTTCTGAGTCATTTTTCTGGGAAATCTTTTTTTCTGAGTAATTTTTACTTAGAAATTTCAGTTCAATTAAACAAACCTGTAATTGTATTGCGACATGAATCTTTTATAGGTGTGATTTATGATACAACTTTCTATCGATGAACTTAAGCGTGACACAAAACACCATTTTATTCTTTTCAGTAAATTATAGCTTCCAAGTAAATCTTAACGCAATACTTTGTTTGAGACTAGCAGTCTTCATAAACATTTTAGGTGCTCAAAAGCATATCTCTGTTAAGCGGTGTAGTAAAAATGAGCCAATTTGACAGTTTTCGCATATTTCATTTGCATCTTTTCATGATCTCAGAACAGGAGCAATCTTGGAGCAGATCTTGTGGGAACGCTTTAATGTAATCCTCAACACTGACCTCGCTTTCTTCTTTACCCGACAACTTCTTCCAGAAATTGATCATAACATTATCGTCATCACCTTCTGGGAAGTACTTGTCTGTCAGTGCACACACTTTGCCCTGGTTCTCCCCTCGGAACTTTTCCTGGAGTAGGTTGCGGAACTCGTACACGTCCAGTCCTCCGTTCTTGTTTGTGTCGCAAAGGGCAAACCAGTAGAAGAAGTTACTCGGCTCCTTAAATCACGAAACAACTCTGAAAACATAATAATGGGAAATTTGCCTTTTTCAATCCCAGCAAGGGAAATGACCGGAAAATGATTTGGTAGGGTGGGTTGTATCCGCCCGATGTTAGGTACCTCAAGTAAACCCCGGAGATTTTTTTCAAAGCTATTTGGCCGTGATTCGGTTTCGAAAAATTCCCAAAAGTAGACGCTGATGATAATAACGAATTTGCAATTTTGGCTAGAAATCCTTTTGCGAAGATGGCCTGATTTCGAGAAAATTTTTAAATCGATTTAAAAAACACTATCTGATTTAAAGAAAACTAATTACTATACCTGCATCTTTGTTTTAAAATTAGCTTTTTATTTTCAAATGCACATTGAACTGCTTAGCATTTGATTAAAATGAAAAAACTAACTTAAAATTGATTACTCAAAAACCCTAAAACTTCTCGATACTTAGGCTTGCTAAATTTTTAACTAACCTTTTTATAATGATTAGAAATCTTTATTTCGAAGAGTTTTGATTTATGATTTGATTATGCTTGCGTTTAGCTTTGTCGAACCTCTGTTTGTCTGCTTTTTTGTCAGTTTAGTTGCAGCCGCACCAAATCTACCTAATATTCGGGCCTTTTTAAAATTAAAAACATTTCAGTGTATTCCGATTTGGGGCAACTAATTGAGTTCCAAGAAAATTTGCCTATTTTTGGGCTTTTTAAATTGATTTCATGCTGGTCATTCAAAATTTTAGTAATTCTGTTCTTTGTAAGGAGTGTTCTATGCATTTATTGCAGTGGTATCAGTCATGCTGTCGACGACAAATCCCAAAAGTTCGATTCCATTCGGGATCTGTTTTTTTTTCTCTGGTGATTTCTTTTCCTCCCCTTACTGATATGCTTATGTTCAGGGGGTGTTCTCGTCCAAATCAGGTTACTATTTAAAGGTACTCAAGCATCCATAAAACTACCGAAGTTGTAATGTGCAGGAGTTTATCACTCTAACTAAGGCAAACTGAAGATCGAACACTGTTTAAACGCTCTTTCAATGTAATCATCACGAAGAAACTACACCGGGACTACATCTGAACAGCTCTTTTTCAACAGAATAGCCAAGTTTGAGCGACTTGATTTAAGTGTTCTATCCAAGACTTTCGTGTATGCCAATTTTTGTTGGCTAAGGTCTCGAAGACAGGTTTGGTTTCTTGTTAGCATTTTGAAAGCGCTATGTAAAGTTTCTAATGCTGCAGCAACTTTGATAAAGGAATTTTTTGTCCTTTTGCAATTTTTATAACTTTTTGATCAAAAAAACAACGATTTTTTGAAGTTTTTCTTTGCTCCGCTTTGCTTCTGTGTACTAATTCGGTTGTTTTTTCACACCTCTGCAGCTGTGATAAATTTTAAATCATTTCTTTAAATCAAAAACTTATTTACTTCAATTGTTTTTGTTCTGACGCTTAGAGAAATAGACGTAATTTTAATATTTGTTGGGTTTTTTCCTCTGAAGTTTTTTTTAATTACGCGTTTTTGACCAAATTGTTCATAGAATCTGACAGATATTCTTGTTAGCGGCGAAATAAATCAATTCAGTTTGAGCTTAGGCCAGCAATTCGGTCTTTTTTATACAATGCTTGACGGTAAATACACCCCTTTATTTATTAAATTGCGTGTGAGGGATGACAGGAAGACAAAGCGAAAAAAAAACGTTTAGTTTTTCTAATTTTTTATCGATTATTTATTGATTTTTGAAGAAAAAATTTTTTGCTCAGTAATAAGTCGCAGTCCAAACATTCGAGAAAGTTATGGAGCTTAATTTATTTCGACTTTTGAATGGCCAACTAATGACGCCTATGTTTTTTTTTTTCAAAAATGCATACAAAAACTGCAAATTGCTCCCATTCACAAGCCTAGCCCTAAAAAAGGAATCGAAATTAATTTTGAATCGAATCATTCAAATTTCGACCCGATCAATTATCAATTTTGAGTAGTTTTCAAATTTATAACAAAACTTTTCGCAGAAAATGGTTTTTGCTTAAAATGTCTTTTTTTGCGGCCGAGGTGAAATTTTTAGTATGAAATAGAAAGGACTGGATGCTTAGTATCAACAAACAACCTACCGATAAAATTAATGATTAATTGTTAAAAACCAAGGTTTTAGAAATAAAGCCAGGTGAAATCTTGTTTTTTTTTGGTGCTAAGCGATGTTTGTTTGGTAGAAGTTTTGAAGTTCTAGGTTTTTATAATTTTTTTGACGCTTTAATTGCCCCTAATTTCAAGTTTTACGGTTTGCAATGCTCGAATTGGGTTTGTGTATGCAGCAGTAGCGGATTTCTCCTCAATAGCCTTCCTCACGGATTCGACCCGCTGCCGACCAAAAGGGTCTCCCTTTGTACTATTTTGACATATCCATTTTTGGCTGACTGACCTTAAATTTGCGCGAATCTATAGTAATTTTGAGGGGGGAGCGCGCACCAAAAAACGTAATTTTTTGGTCCAAAATTGGTCCAAAAAGTGCTTAAAAACGCCTTTTTCGGCCTGTTTTTTCAAAAATTTGTCTGCGGCGCAGATATTTTGGCCAAAACAGAGTCTTTGCAGTGCTTTTGGAGAGCTCGGAAAATCAATTTGATCGACCTAAAAAAATTTCGCCCTCTTGAGAAACTCCTAGATCCGCGCCTGGTATGCAGCATAGTTTGGCGATTTTAAGCTATTCCGATTAGCATTTTCTTTGTTTATGGTATAAAAGCGCATTTATTGCTGATTGGAAGTTTTGATTTTCGGAAAGATTGACGTAATATTTCTGCTCAGGGCGTTTTGCTTCAGACATCACGGCTTTTTAACAATCATTTTCGCACAGACTTTTGCTTACAATCTGAAAAAAACAATGTCTAGCTCAAAATTGGCCTAGATTTTGAGGCGGTTTGAAGCTAGGAAATTTGGCCAGTTTGAGACAATTAATGCGCATAAAACTAATAGTGTTCTTTTTGCGAGTGCGTAGTATAGACAACAAAATATTAGTTTCGGCTTGGAAATTGTGTCAAATTTAAATGAGGGGAAAATAATTAATTAACACACTGCGTCAACAGAGAGAAATGTAATCCGTTTGAATGTGGCAATGCGCGTGAGGGGAAAGCTTTAAATATTTATCAGTTTTCTAGCTAAAAATAAATGCCAGCCAGAAAAATTTCTGGATAAAATTGCTTGGCATTCAGAAAATTTTGCCCCTTATGCGAGCAATCTTCTTAGTCATAGATTAAGATGAAATTAATGTTATCAGAGCAGCAGTCGATCAGTGGTATAGAAAACTAGATCTTTGATGTTTTTTTGCTTTTTTTCTAAGTGCAGTTCCGTTAAGCTTGCGGTTTATTTATAAGAAACAAAGAAATTATAAAAATGCAAGCCTTTGCTGTTCAGTTAGTACAGACTGCTCGGGCTACTTTTATTTGCATAGAAAACATTGGTAGCAAGCGTAGCAAGTTGCTGTGAATAGGCCTTGGAGTGGATAATTTTTTCTTAACCAGTTAACCGATCTCAAATTAACCGGTTTACCGGTTAATTCTGAAGAAAAAATTTTTGGCAAAAATGAATGAATTTTATACAGAACATGGCGCAGAAGGTGCAGCGGTCGAGTCAGACAAGTTGTGTACCTGCAAATATTTGGGTTAAAAATAGCCATGAAATCAAATAAAAATTCACATTATACGATTAACTTGCTCGCATGATACAGAAGCGCCCCGTTGCCTCCAGACAGGTAAATATATAACTTAGTAGTATGATAGGAATTCTAGTAAAGCCCTCACTTTGTTGTGCATTTCCATCGATTAACCGGTTAATGAAAAATTAAACCGTTAAAAAAAGTTAACCGGTTAAACGCTCCGAGGCCTAGCTGTAAAAGTAGCACAGAATGTTCCGACCTCATTAAAAAAACTACTTCGAATGTAATCCGAATTCATAAGATATTCAATTTAGTGTCGTATCTTGCGCGTGGTGGTATCATAAAAGTATACACACGTGTTTAAAGGTAACAAGTTATGCATAATTGACAACAGTCTCGAAAAAAGAATGACAAGCAAAAAACATTCAAAAAAGTAAAAAAAAATTATAAAATAAAAATTTTGAACTAAAGAATTTTTGGACTAAAAAAATTTTGAACTGAAAGAAACAGTTAAAATCGAACAAATTAAGAATTAGTAGTCACAGCGTCAAAAAACATGAAAGTTTTTGTTGAAATGCAAAAACTTCTCAATCCTTCTCATTCAAACAACGAGGAAAAAACACGAGAATTCTTCCGCACTAGAGTTCAATGCGTGAAAACTGATAACTCACGACTTTCATAGTCAATGCCTGAAAAATTGAAAATCTTTCGATTATAATTGATTTGCTATAGACTTTTTTGTCAATAGTATAGTTAATTGTAAGGCGTTTTCAATTGATGTGGGCGCCATGTTTAACAGCTCAGCACTGGTAGCATTTAAGAACTCGTTGAATCGGAGTAGCTAACCTCAATTTAATTGCGCGCTCAGAAAGCAAACACGCGCTGATGATTTCGACAGCTTTCGTGTGCATGTTATATTTTGTGCGTGATTTTCTGCACAAAGACTTTGTTCTCAATTAGAAAACAATGCGTGCTTACATTTCCATTTGCCTTCGCATCGCACAATTATAGGTATGAACTTTTGTTTGACGCCCTTAAGATCAAATCGACCTTGATGTTTTATTGCAAATGCCCCTCCCTCCTGCCGTAAATTAAACACCCACGTTGATTTATCTCCCTTATTGCAATAAGCCCCTTCCCCCTTCAAAGCATATTCTCATATGCTTAACCTTAAGTTCATTTTTACAAATGAAATGCTGAAGGTCAATTGGAACTTTATGCTTTTTGCATTTTTGTAAATTCCTTCTCCCTGCCTCATTTCAATTACCCACCTTGATTCATTTCGCTTATTTTAAATACCCAACTTTCCTTGAAATCACATTCACACAAGCATATATGCAGATTAAAATAAAATTAGGCATGTTT